CGTTGGTCTTGCAAAATTCTACCATGTGAGTTTCAGCATTGTTTCTGTCACCAAGGCCAAATTTTCCAACTACCGGTGATTCTTCTTTGTTTCCAACTTTTGCATTCCAATCACCAGTGATAATTAACACATCCTGATCGCATGTTTGGTCAATTTCAGACTGCAGAAGTTGATAAAAATCTTCAATTTCCTTATCTTTGGCTTTGGTGGTTGGTGCATAAATTTGAATAATAGTCATGTTAACGGGTCTTTCTTGTAGGCATATGGATGTTATCCTATCACTGACAGCATTGTACTTCAGGACAGATCTTGAAACATCCTTTGTGATGATGAATGCCATGCCATTCCTCTTCAAACTGTCATTGCCAGCATAGTAGATCACATGGTTGTCTGATTCAGAATGGCTAAAACCAGTCCATTTCAGCTCACTAATGCCAAAGATATCAATCTTCATGCTTTCCATTTAATTTTTGACAACTTTCAATTTTCCTAGATTCATACTCCATACATTCCATATTCTGATGATTAATGGATGTCTGTAACTGTTTTTCTTCAATTTGAGTGATGCCACATCAGCAAATGGCATTCTCGAAAGCTTTACCTTATCCATAGGAGTAAGGCTGGGTTTACTCAGATGATGCAGCTCTTTCCCAGTCCTATTTTCAGAGCCTTCTAACGTAACCAGACTATTCATAAAGTTGCACGGTAATGTATCAAACAGTGTTTCTTTGCTATTCATAAGGTTTTCCCTGGCTAATTATTTGAGAAGTGGACGGCCTCCTCCTTCTTCCTAGTCTGACTCAGTCTGTAAGCTGGGCTGATACCTGTGCACCATGTGCATCCCTGTGGATTGGAACCACCAGTGGTTCAGCCTCAAAACTCACATCAACACATCATCACAATAGGACAAACTGACAGACCAGTTTGCCTCCCTGTTGGAAACCTCTTGTACCACCCTTACCTGGGTCCCTGCGGCTGACTCCTCCTCTGTCCAGATTCCTAGGCCTTTTAATCCTCTTTCTCCCGTTCTCTCACCCTGCTGCTTTGGGCGTGCCTGAGTTCCTCTCCTCACCTGGATCCCTGCATCTGATTGCTCCTCTGTCCTTGTTCCTGGCTTTTAATCCCCTTTTTCCTGCTCTCCTGCACCGCTGCTTTGGTCATGCCTGAGTTCCTCTCCTCACCTGGATCCCTGTGGCTGACTGCTCCTCTGTCCAGGTTCCTGGCTTTTTTATCCTCTTTCTCTCACTCTCCCACCCTGCTGCTTTGGGCGTGCCTGAGTTCCCTCTCCTCACCTTGATCCCTGCGGCTGACTGCTTCTCTGTCATGGTTCCTGGCTTTTAATCCCCTTTTTCCTTCTCTCTCTCACTGCTGCTTTGGGCATGCCTGAGTTCCTCTCCTCACCTGGGTCCCTGTGGCTGACTGCTCCTCTGTCCAGGTTCCTGGCTTTTTTATCCCCTTTCTCCCACTCTCCCGCCCTGCTGCTTTGGGCATGCCTGAGTTCCCTCTCCTCACCTGGATACCTGCAGCTGACTACCTATAAGGCAGTACTAGTACTTTATTTAATTTAGTTTGTTGCTCAAAATGGTCCAGCTTTGGCCTTTGGAAATACTTTCAGTTTGACTCATTTCCTTTTGCTATATGTCCAGTCTTTTGTTTTATGAGCACTTGATTACTTTCTGGCACTACAAGATGCTCCAGGCTCATTTGCTAATCCTTGCCCTAGTTTTAGAATCAACTGTTTCTCCTGGGAACTCTGGTTCTTTTTATTGGAGAATTGTATTTAGAAATCAAATCTGGATGCTGGGTGTGCTCATTGCTACTGAGGTGTCAGTCAGTGCTTGTTTTATTTTGCTAAAATATTCTTAAAATCTGAAGTTGAAAATTATGCTGAAGAGGTAGTGGGTAAACAGTAAAACATTTCCTGACTTAAAAAAGTACAAAGTTAAAAATTCCTATGACAGTTTGAGGCAGTCAATTTCTGTTGACGTTTCTAAGGGTAGACAAATGGATATAGACCTTTCAAAATTCCAGTAAAAGTCCATATTGAGTTACTGTATTTATTTAAATGATTTGTAGTTTTAAAAGTATTAAAAATGTATACTTCAGTATATAACTTTAAAGATAATAAAGTTTCTGTTCTTACAGTTTGTTTTGATTGTTTTGTTTAGAGCTTACCTTAATATTAGCATCCTAAGTATGAGTTGAAGCAAATGATTTGTTCCTTTTCTTTTAATGAAGTAGAAGCGTCCTCTTGCCTTTGGACTTTTCTTCATATGGACTGTTGATTAGTGATAGATCTCTTTCCAAAAGTAAATTTATTCACTTTTTGGGTTTTATCTATTTCAGACATTCTCTTCTTTTGGCATTTTAAGTCACAAGGGTAAATAAAATGACTGCAGCATTTAACAAATCTAGTTTATTAAGTACATATTTTGTACTGCTTATCAGATTGGAGCAAGTTTTGGAAGTTGAGTTTGACTTTTATTCAAATTGAGAGTTAAAGTTGACTTTGAACAACAAAAAAAGGAAATTTAAAAGTGAATAAGGATAGTACTGCTCTGAAGAATGGTGTAGTCTATTCCTTTAACTCTGTGCTGTTTTCTTTTCCTTTGCAGAGAATGTAGCTGGTCATTACATTTCTCCCTTCCATGATATTCCTCTGAATGTGGACTCCACAGAGGTATTGTTTTAACTTATTTTGGAAATGAATTTATGTACTTCTGTCACCACAAAATGCTTTTTGGAAGTGTTTTAGAAAGAAATAAGATGATTGGAAATCATGAAGGGAAATAGAGTTATAACTGTAGTAAGTTTCCTTTGTGAATTACAGTTCCTATGAGGAAAGGATTATTCTAGGAGGACTTGGAGAGAAAGGGGTGTTAATTGCCCATAATGCTTAGAATTTGGTGGGAAATAAAGATTTAAGGGTAAGCATTTAGGTTAACAAGAGGCTTATTTCTGTTAATGACCATATAATTCACATTTGTGGATGAGTTTCTATTTGTTAGTCACTATGTGTGCATGTATTTTTAAAAATCCTTAGGAGTTACTATTGTTACCTACAAGGAAACGGAAGCTGTTGGTATTTTATTGACTTGTCTTAAGATCACACCACTAAGTGCTAGAGGCAGATTTCAGACTAGTGTGTTTGACAACAAATCTCGTGTTCTTTAACCACCTGGGATAATGCTGATGTTTAAATAGCTGCTCTCTTAGAACTTAAAATCATTTTGACAGTTGTGAGGGTGTAAAAAATGCAAATTAAATAGGAATGGGAGGTCTGTAGCTTTAGGTAGAACTTGAGAGGGGCTCAGTATTGTTGGGGCATATCGAGAGGGCCCTCCTGATGGTTGGCAAAATGGCATAATTGGTTGTTACCTGCCATGGAGTTGGCCCCCGACTTATGGAGACTCTTTGTATGACAGAACAAAACACCGTCCAGTCCTGTGTTACCCCATGACAGGTTGCAGATCAGACTGTTGTGATCTATAGGGTTTTCATTGGCTGATTTTTGGAAGTAAACCACCAGGCCTTTCTTAGTCTGTACATTCCACTGAATATTGCTATCATCATAGCAAAACGTTAACCTCCACAGACAGATGTGTGTGGCTGCGATGAGGTGCCCTGGCCAAGAATCAAACCCAGATCTCCCACATGGAAGGCAAGAATTCAGGATAGGCGTGGAGGCCAGTAGAGAAGTAAGGAAGCTGCTTTAGATGCAAGGGCTAGTTTGACCTTCTTGGTGTTACTTAGCTCAGAGGCTAAATATTATGAATCATACTGAACTTATGGGACTATACTAAAGTTATGGGAAGTAGGATTTTGTGCTGTCTTCCAGCCCTTCATAATATTGTCAATAACAATTGCAGTAGGGAAAATCGTGTTGTTGTTGTTATTATGTGCTGTCAAGTCAGACCTGACTCATAGCGACCCTTCTTGGGTAACACTATGGAAGTAGATTGCCCAACCTTCCCTCCGAGGAGTGACTGGTGGGCTTGAACCGTCACCCTTCTGGTTAGCAGTCAAGTGCCTTAGGCACTACTCTACAATAGTGAAGATTTATTGAGTATTTGTGGTGCTTAGCTAGGAACTGTGCTCGGTGCTTGACATGCGTTATCTACCTTCTGTGAGTTGCTGTTATTACCTTTATTTTACTAATGAGGTTAATAACCTTGCCTATGGTCACAGAGCTAGTCATCTGTGAACGTGGGGTTTGAACTTGGATGCTTTAACTCCAAAGCTCGTGCTCTTAACTGCTGTTCTATAATGCCTCCAAGTTCATTGCTTTTAAGTGGTTAACTGCAGAAAAAACAAACCAAAACCTCTAGCCACCACCACTACCACCACCACCACCCAAACAAACAAACAAACAAAGAAACCAAAATCAAACCCATTACCATCGAGTTGATTCCAACTCATAGGTACCCCATAGGGTTTCCAAGGCTGTAAATCTTTATGGAAGTAGACTGACTCAACTTTCTTCATGGTGTAGGTGGTGGGCTTGAGCCACTAATCTTTTGGTTAACAGCTGAATGCTTTACCACAGTGCCACCAGAGCTCCTTGTACGGTAGAACAAGGGCTCATGTAATCTTGAGAGAGAATGAAATCAAAGAGAGGCTGAGAGAATTCTGTTATGCTTTTGTGTCTCTGTGACTGTGTGAGTGTGTGCGTCTCCATGTGTTTTTCTTGTTGTCTGGCCAGTGAACTACTGAGCCTAAATATCTCATGCCTCCCAATATTTCTCTCTCTTGGCTAAAAGTGCATACATTTACCTTTTCATTTATTCATTTGTTCAAAATTATTACACGTTTATTACTATTAAGGAACTCTGATAGCGTAGTACCTAAGGCACTTGACTGCTAAGCGGAAGACTGGCAGTTCAAACCCACCAGCCACTACTCGGAAGGAAGGTTGGGCAATCTACTTCCATAGTGATACCATCTTGGAAACCCAAGGAGGGGTCGCTATGAGTCGGGTCTGATTCAACGGCAAATAACAATGCAACAACAATATTACTTATTATGAGCCAGGCATTATTCTAGTCACCAGGGTGCAGGGGTAGTTAAGACACAGTTCCCACTCAGTTGGCGGAAGCAACAAATAAACAATCAGATAGTATTAAATGCTATAAAAATAGAACAAGGTAATGTAATATAAAGAATGACTGTTGTTGTTGTTGTTATGTGTCGTTGAGTCAGACCCAACTCATAGCGACCCCTCCTTGGGTTTCCGAGGTAGTATCACTACGGAAGTAGATTGCCCCATCTTCTTTCCGAGGAGTGGCTGGTGGGTTTGAACTGCCAGCCTTCTGGTTAGCAGTCAAGTGCCTTAGGCACTATGCTACCAGAGCTCCCGTAAAGAATGACTAGTGGGTTCCATTTCATGTAGGTGTGTACCATGACAAAATAATGTGTACATTATAATAATGTTGTTAGTTGCCGTTGAGTTGAATATGACTCATGACATCCCATGCGTACAGAGTAAGAACTGCTGTACAGAATATTCAGTGCTGTGACCTTTCAAAGCAGATCACTGAGCCTGTCTCTGAGGTGCCACTGGGTAGGTTTGAACCACCAATCTTTTGGTTACTTGTCTAGTGCTTAGTCATTTGCTTTTTTTTTTTTTTTTTAAGCTGTGTTGTTCTGGTTGCCTAGTACCACTCTGACAAGAATGTACCACAAATGGGACAGCTTGAACAAACAGGAGTTTATTCTCTAACAGTTTGGAGTCTTAAAGTCTGAGTTCAAAGTGCCAGGCTCTAGGAGCTGGGTGAAAGCCCCTGGGTAGGTTTGAACCACCAATCTTTTGGTTACTTGTCTAGTGCTTAGTCATGTGCTTTTTTTTTTTTTTTTTTTTTTTAAGCTGTGTTGTTCTGGTTGCCTAGTACCACTCTGACAAGAATATACCACAAATGGGACAGCTTGAACAAACAGGAGTTTATTCTCTAACAGTTTGGAGTCTTAAAGTCTGAGTTCAAAGTGCTAGGCTCTAGGAGATGGGTGAAAGCCCCTCAGCCTTGGGCTTCAGCTCTGCTTCCTGCTTCCGGCCCACTGGAGCTAAAGGCTTTTCTTTACTCAGACAGCTGCTGGCTGCTGAGACTGACAAGCCCAAGGATGACAAGTAAAAAGGCACAGTCCTGATGTTACCAAACCACATGGCAGGCCATTAATTCAAATCCATTGAAAGTCCTGAGGTCAGCAGAGCAGGGCAGAATGCTGAACAATGACACGGCTACATCCTGGGTTGAAGTGTGCCATAAGCTAGAGACCGTTCTCCAAGCCTTCTCCTTATATACCGGAAGCAGACCACAGCCCAAAGACAGCTACTCAGCTGCTAATAGTAGATTCCACCATGGAGCTGATTACCAGTCTCGTCATGGGGAATACTACATCCACCTGCCCAGCCACTCAACCAGGCCCAGCCAAGTTGACACACAAACTTAACTACCACATGTATGTTTGAGAATCATGTAGGAGGTAAGGGTGGAGGTGGAACCAAGAGTGGACTTGAAACATCTCAGTGAGTGTGGCATTCTTCCTAAAGGATATTGGGTTGGGGGGAATGTGAGATTTGAGGTTAGGCCAGGCAAAATTGAGGATAGAGAATCTGGTGATGTAGAGATTGGTACACACAGTGGTGGTTTAAACAGGTTTTCTCATTCTCGGACAGTATGTTGCACCTTGTATTTTGGAATGTGGTATTTTAGGAACAGAAATATTTTAGGCATAACTTGGAATAATCATCTTTATGTTCTTTTTTGTTTGTTTGTTTCCTTCACTGTAGTTGTTTTGGTGCATAGAAGTTATGTATAACGTGTGAGCATTTGTGAATGGCATAATTTTTCTTCCCAAACCGCTGTGTAGTCTGTTTTAATTTAAAAACAGCAAAAGTACTTGATAGAGGCGTAGTAATCACACCTTGGTAGAATTAAAAGGCATGAGGTACAGGCAAGTACTTTCACATCTTGTTAGTCACACTCCCTGGAGTTTCATTTCAATAATGAAATGACTGTTTTAAGTGCAATTACTGGAAACTGCCAGTCTTCCCTTAAACTCTGAACCCAGACTGCTTGTTTTATAAAAACTGGGAAAATATAATTGAAAGAGATTTAGCTTTTCTGACCATTTATTTTATGAAACACTTTGATGCCCCATTCACAGGAGATGCAAATGTTGAGGGTCATTTGGTAGCTCTGTTGAATCAGGTTTCTGGACAGCCTCTAGTTGAATGTCTATGCAGTAGGTATATTCTTTTGCTATGCAGTAGGCATATTCTTTTGCTATGCAGTGCAACTCTAGTCTTTCGTGAACTATTACAAACGTAAATATCATTTTTTCTTTTATAGGAAAATGACATTCCTACAAAGAAAGCACGAAATGATGAACATGAGGTATATCTAAAGGTTTTTATTTTTGTGGATCACTTTGATGCTGTCTAGTAAAGATCTTGATGGTACTTTGCATTTATAAGGTGCTTCTAAAATTTTTTCCCTGCAAGGCTCTCATATACATTCTGATTTTTTTCTTCTTTTCGTATTTCTGTGAGGCAGCTAGGGCAGATACTATCACTTCATTTTGTTAAGTGAGAAACCTGAGAGTATCAGGACATGCACCAGATTTTAGTAACAAGCACCTTATCACGGTAGATGGTCTAAAATAAATATACTTTATGAAAATTTGTCAGGTTTATCTTTTATTATAAGGAAGAAGATGGTTTGAAGCTGTTTTAGGATCCAGGTGCAACAGTCTTTTAATTCACCAACTGTATGCTACAATAAATATATTCTAAATATCTCTTTCAGATCCGTGACTGTCAAACCTTTGATAGTTCTTGACTTAGGACCAGCATATTTGATTGATGTTGGCTATCCCTATCTTGTTATCAGTGCCTTATTATTCTGCTGAGGCTGGCAGCTTTTCCTACCACCTTCCTTCCTTCTATTCCTTTCCCAGCCTTATTTCCATCTATTTTCTAGCCCAGCTGAAACTTATGAGTCCAGTCTTTGGATCTCCTTCTAAACATAGCAGTGGGGGCCATTTAATTCCTACAACGTTTGCCTGCCATCCATCTTCTATTTTCTTAAACTTTTTTTTTTTGTCAAAATGGTCTCTAAACTGTCTACACTGAAATCACTTAGAGCTCTTGTTAAAATGTCAGATTCCTGGACTCCATTGCAAAATCCCCTGCCATTGAGTCGATTCCATTGGGTTTCCAAGGCAGTAAATCTTTACAGAAGTAGATTGCCTCATCTTCCTTCCATGGAGTGGCTGGTGGGTTTGAACTGCCAACTTCCTAGTTAGCAGTCAAATGTCTTAGGCACTGCACCACCAGAGCTCCTTTGGGCTTCATCCCAGATCTACTAAATCAGAGTCTCTACATTTTTAACAGGTGTTCCAGGTGCATCTTAAACACACTGAAGTTTGAAAACCACTTGCCCTAGATATTACATGAACAGGCCCTCAGGGTCTCAAAGCATTCTAGGTTCCTAGGGACTTTGTATATTGGTCTGGAAATAAGTTTTTCAGTGCAAAATGTATTATTCTGAGCCCAGACAGCCAAGTTAAAATTTAATTCTTAGAACACAGTTTATATGTTAGAGACTGCCTGACTAGAGTTTATTTGAAATTTTAAGAATTAGAAAGAAAAGACATAATAATTTCTTCCCCTTTCCCCCCTAAGTATATAAAACATATTTTTGTGTATATTAGTAGTTTTTCTTTCAGATTTTGGAAGCAAAAATACAAGGGGGAAAATGGAGACAAAGAAAAGCAAAGAAAAGGACTAAAGGAGGAAGTAAATCTGCCTGCTACGTATACAACTTTTTGATTTGATTTGTGTCATATCTTTTTGATTTTCTAAAAAATCCAGTAGCCTATTGTTGGTTTATAATTAACACTAATCTTAGGAAAAACATGCTAACATTAGCTTTAAATAACTACAGGCCATGTGCATTTTAGTCAGAGAGAAGAAAGATAGGAAATAGTACATGGTTTGCAGGCTTAAAATTCAAACCTCTTGTATTGTTCTTTTGACCTGACTGAACTCTCTGTGAGTGGTTTTGGTAGGTGGTGGCATGTGAAATGATTATCACTACCTTGGTCTTCTCCGTCACCTCTAAGTATTCATCCACAGTGCATTTGTTCTTATAGCCAGGCTTTCAGGGATGAATAAATTATGTGAACATCTGTCATTTTCTTAGGTTTTTCTTTTTTAATGTCTACTTCAGACATATTTAAACAGGTGTAGAGGTACCTCATGAAAGAGCATAGAAAATGAAACAACATCAGGTCTGCATATAAGGTTGCTGAAGATAGATGTGGAACATCCTTCTAAGGATCAGTTATCGAGAACTCATTTTAGGTTTCATTCTTCATCTCATTATGCCATTTGTAACCATAAACCTTAAATACAAAAATTTAATAATAGCAAGTTTAATGAAAACTTTGTGACTACATTTACATTTAATTGTGTAAATGACATTTGTTTGAATTGTTAGCCTTCCATATTTCACTAAGAAACCACTAGATATTTAGCAATGCTTTAAACCATGGCTACACATTAACATTGGTTTGAGGGCTTTAAGAAATAATCACTGCCCTGACTCTATCCCACAATAATTGAAGTCCAATATGTGGGGGCTCTAGGAAGGTTTTTTTCTTTTTTCTTTTTTTAATTGATTAAAGCTTCCTAGGTGATGTTGGATTTTGATGTGTGGCAGGTTTAAGTGTATTAAGCCACTGTTTCTCAAATGATATGTAGTGAAGGACTAGTTTTTTGGTTTAGTTTTAATCTGTTGTTAACTGATTGATACTTTGAAAAAAATACAATAAAAATGAATTATTAGAAAAGTGAAATTTATACTTTTATTTTTATTATTAGATTCAACAGACATAAAAACTCCTATGTGAAACTACTTTATTGTTGTTGTTATGTGCCGTCGAGTCAGACCCGACTCATAGCGACCCATCCTTGGGTTTCTGAGATGGTATCACTACGGAAGTAGATTGCCCAACCTTCCTTCCAAAATCTACTTTAAGTGTTTCTAAGTGGACCAGTGACAACCAGCATTTTGCTTTGCCATGATAAATTGTTAGTTACTGACATTAAAATGGTATACAAGTTAGCTGTAGCCTTGAGACTTGCTCTTTTTAAGATGGACGAAGAAATTATTTTTATACACTATTGATTAGAGTCTCCTTTGCTTTTAGTACTCTACAGAGTTCAGAAATGATAAAAAGAAGCATCAGTCCTTTTGTAACCTTATGAGGCCTTGGATCACTAGATATGCAAGCTAAGAAAAATATCAGTTTCATTCTTCGGAATCTTTTTGTATGTACCATAAAACTTTAATAACTGACTATATCAATATCCTTAGTTTTACATTATAGTCAGAATAATAACTTGGATTTAAATATTGCTTTATACATTTCAAAATATTTTACTTCATAATTTTCTGTATATTTTCACTTAAATTATGTGATTGATCTTCATAATAACCTGTGTAAGTGAGTAGAACCAAAGTTATTGTATTCATTTTATAGATTGGGAAAATAAGACTGACTGCTTAAATAATGGATACAATCTTTCACTCCTTTTTTAGTAAAAAAACAACAAAACCCAAAACTTTCCTGATTCCTTTCTCATTCTGTCACTACACTGCAAAGGTATTCCCAGAAAAGTATTAATCTCTAATATTGTGAAGTAGTGGTCAAGTAGCACAGTGGCTTCAAATCTGTATTTTCAAAAACCTCTCTAATATTTAGAGGAAATTTAAGACACAGACAGAAGTAAGGCACAGATTATAACCTTTTTTTTTTTTTTTTTTGGTAGAAGAAAAAAGACTACAGCATTCTCTTAAAGATGGTAAGTGAAAAAAATAAAGAACAGGCATACATTTCTCTTTCTTTTGTTTCTTTACTACAGAATTTGTTTAATATGGTTGTAGAAGTACCTCGGTGGACAAATGCTAAAATGGAGGTATGTAATTAGATATATCCTCTTAATATCAATTAGGCAGTATAACTTAATAATAACATAAAAAATTTTTGTTTGTTTCAAGTTGTTTTGAATTTGGGATGACTGACAAATTTCTATATAATGAAAACAATTAAAAACATTCTTGTGAACTTACTCTGATTTTAATTTCAAAACGAAGAATATTAAGAATTATGGTCTAGCCAAGTTGACACACAACTCCAACTATCACACCCTTGAGCAAGACACCTGCTTAACTTTAAGCCAGCACTTCCTCAAATGCAATTAGCTGTCTTATCAACTCATGCTGTGTAAATTGTATTCTTTATTAGAGGATCTTAATAAGTGATTACAAAACTCAATTAAAGACACTTCTGGTAAGATGGAGGAATAGGCAGACAAGCTACACAGACCCTCTTCAACAAAGGAAAGATAAACCAATTGACAGAGATGCAGAAGATAATCCTGGAGCCCAGAGCTTTGAAAGGAACTATACAGAAGTGGATTAGGCACCAACTACTGGAAAAATCTGAATGAAAACAGTGAGTACAGAGATGGTCAGAGTAGTGGACTGTCAGCTACTGTGACAGGACTGACAGCCTGAATATTTCAGAGTGATGGTGGGACCTGAGAATTGACCTAAAGATCAGTGCTGGCCACCAAGGGCTACAGGAATGACCACGCTGGTGGTCTGTGACTAGGAAGGGAAATAGCAAGGAGGAAGACAACCTGAGCTGTGGACTTTCTGGAAGTTGCAGCCATTTTGAATGTTTACAAACGATGACCATTTTGGATATTTGAAGTGACTGAGGGCACAGCCATTTTGCATGTTTACAAGTGGTGGCCATTTTGGATATTTAAAGAGACAGCATTCTCATTGCTGACCACCTGAATATCCTCCTTGGTGAAGTGTCTATTCATGTCTTCTGCCCATTTTTCAATTGGATTGTAAATTTAGGATTCCAGGGACCTAAGAATATGCTCTCTTTGCCAAGTAAGGCAGGGACATATGGGAGGCTGACAATGGGAAAGGAGACGGGTGGTGAGTGTATAAGTGCTGCCTATTAGCGAATAGAGGAGCACAGTACGGTACCCTGCTTATGTAGATAACATCCATACAAACCAAAGAAAATGAAAATTGTGGGCAATTCACTCCAATGTACTAGCACCAATTAAATATAAACACAAAACCTCATAATGCCTCGGAGACAATGGACCATCATAGTCCACACAAAGAAGCAAGATAAAGCAGGAGAAACACGGGACCAGAATACAGACCCAAGACACATCCCTGAGGAAGATGCAGCATTGGAACTCACTATAAGGAATTCAAAAGAATTATATTTAGGTATCTTCATCAAATTGAGAGACAGATCAAATAAAACACTGACAAAATTAAGGAAAACACTGAGAAAACCCTAGAACAATTTTGAAAGACAATATAAGAACAAAATGACAAAATAAATGAAAAATTAGAAATAATACAAAATCTACAGTTAGAAACCTGGAAGATTAATATGGAATTTTCAGAAATGGATAAGACATTGAATGGGCAGAGGAGCAGAACTGATGGAATGGAAGACAGAATTAGTGAGATTGAAGGCAAATACCACAATACTTCTTTGGAAATGATCAATAAGAAAAAAGATAAAATGAAGAAAGCCTAAGGTTCATGTGGGATACCATCAAAAGAAATAACCTGCTTATAATCAGAATTCCAGAACAAGAAGAGACAAATAAAACCACAGAAAAAATTGTTGAAGATTTGTTGGAAGGAAATTTTCCTGGTATGATGAAAAATGAGAATATATCCATTCAGGAAGTCCAACGAACCCCAAACAGGATAGACCCCAAAAGAAAATCACCAGACATATTATCATACTCACCAAAACCAAAGATAAGGAAGGAATCCTGCAAGTAGCATGGGAAAAACAAAAAGTTTACCTACAAGGGGCAACCAATAAGAATAAGCTTGGATTTCTCAGCAGAAAGCACTCAGGTGAGAAGACAATGGGATGGTTTATATAAAACTCTGAAAGAGAAAATTTCCAACCAAGAATTATGTACCCAGCAAAATTGTCCCTCAAATATGATGGTGAAATTAGGAGATTTCAGATAAGCAGAAATTAAGGGAATATGTTAAAATCAAACCAACCTTACAAGAGATGCTAAAGGGAGCCCTTTGGACAGAGGAGCAACAACGGCAAACAACAACTGACCATCAACACACATGATGACATAACCCAGAAACCAACCCAGCTATGGAAGTATCCAAAGTAAATAAGCCTACAAGATTGTAAACAGGGAACCAGAGACATCAGTTGACAAATGAGGACAACTACAAACCAAAAAGAGGGAAAAAATTGTGTAGTTACAGAACTTCTAAATGGTAGGGAAGTCAAGACAACTACAGGATAGAATGGACTATTCTAAATTTGGGAAGAAATTATAAATCACGGGGTAACCTCAAAGCAAAATAATAAACCTTCACATCAAAATAAAAAAGAGGACCAGTACAAATATTTAGCAAATACTAACACAGTACCAGCCACTCCTCGGAAGGAAGATGGGACAAGCTACTTCCATAGTGATACTGCCTTGGAAACCCAAGGAGGGGTCGCTATGAGTCGAGTCCGACTCAACGGCTCATAACAACAACAACAAAAAAGCAGTAACAACAAGGAAAGTGATAACATGATTCGTGAACAAATCAGCATAGAAAATTGTGTGGAACGAAGAAATCAACACCACAAAAAAGCACATAACAAAATGACAGCAACAAATTCATACTTGTCAATGATTACATATCTGGCAAGGAACTTATCTCTAAGATTTATAGAAAACTCCCAGTGCCTCAACAACAAAGGAATTTACAATCCATTTGAAAAATGGGCAGAAGACATGAATAGACACTTCACCAAGGAGGATATTCAGGTGGCCAGCAAATACATGAAGATGCTCATGATCATTGGCCATCGGAGAGATGCAAATCAAAACAACAATGAGATACCATCTCACCCCAGCACTGATGGCAAGGTTCATTGAGACAGAAAAATACCAAATGCTGGCGGGGATGTGGAGAGATTGAGACTTTCATACACTACTGGTGGGAATGTGAAGTGATACAACCACTGTGGAAAGCAGTATGGCGATTCCTCAGAAAGCTGGAATTTGAGATAACATTTGACCCAGCAATCACATTACTATGTATATATTCTAGAGAGGTGAGAGCCAGGACCAGAACAGATATATGCACACCCATGTTCATCACAGCAGTATTTCCAATAGCAAAAAGATGGAAACAACCTCTATGTGCCCATCAGTGGAAGAGTGGATGACCAAACTATGGTACATACACACAATGGAATGCTGTGCAGCACTAAAGAATAATGTAGAGTCTCCAAAACACTCACCACATGGATGAACTTGAAGGACATTATGCTGAGTAAGATGAGTAAATCATAGAAGGACAAATACAGTATTAGTTCATTGTTGTAGAGGGTTAAGGAAAGGTTTATATATGGAGGGAAGCTTTCTTTATTGGTTGCCAGGGTTGGGAGGGGAGAGAAGGGAACACTACAAAAAAAAAAAAAATGCATTGATCCATGTCACTTTAGTTTTGTGTATTTCACTGTACATAAATAATGTTTCAATAAAATGCATTTTTTAAAAAAAGAAAAATATTGATGGCTGAGTATGTAATTTAGAGTGTTTGCACATCTTTGCCTTTCTAGTTTATTATCTACATTTTTATGTAATTTTCCTTGACTCCTCTTTCTTAAAAATTTTTTCAGTTAGTAGATTGTGGGATGTATTTAATTCATAGACACAACTGAAATATATTTATTAGGGGCTGGTGACAATTTTAGTTTCTAAGGACTCTATTCTTCCTTACTGTGCCAGAAATGAAAGCATTTTTTGTCCCAAAACATTTTTATGATCACTATAAGAGCATCTGCTGCTCCCTTGATGAAGGATTTTTTTTTTAATCTTTTTTATCACATTAAGATTGTCATAACTTTTGTTCTGCTTTTTCAAATTGTTTTGTTCCATCTTCTGTTAGATAAGATTCCTTCTGAGTTCTGAGTGAAATTTAAATTGTGAAACTTGGTTTGTTTAGTTATTTAGGTCTTTCTTCTATAACTTTGGATGTGATGCAAAGTATTATTTCAGATATTTAAATTAGGGATTGTTATGTAGGTATGTGTTTTTGAGATTTTCTGTTTAGAGAATTGTCAATAATTTCATCAGTTCCTGGTAGTATTTTTTGTGAATCTTTTAATTGGAAAAACAGAAGGTAAAAGTTTCTTCTTTTGGTCTTCAAATACAATGTTACATCATTTACTACTATGTACGTCAGTTAGATATAGGATATAAGATTCTATAAAGTTCTGCCTCATTTAAGCAGTGCTTCAGCATTCAAACATAGCTTCTATTATTTTTTGTTTACTTTATAACATATATTTTTTCTCTTTGAATGATAACGTGTATATGATAGAAAACTAACTTTCAAATGAAATCACTTGGTGAGAGTCTTTGAGTTAACTTTATTTTCCAAAGTTTTATGGTAAAAATCTGAGATTAGTAACAAAAAGCAAGTTAATATTAAACCTCTTGCCATTTCAATCATTTTATCATTTGTGTTACAAATAATGGAGTGCCTAAACAATGTTGTTGTTTTATACCGTTCAGTCAGACCCGACTCATAGCGACCCCTCCTTGCCTAAACAATTGTTGTTGTTGTTGTTATGTGCCGTCGAGTCATACCTGACTTATAGCGACCCCTCCTTGGGTTTCCGAGGCAGTATCACTACGGAAGTAGGATTGCCCAACCTTCCTTCCGAGGAGTGGCTGGTGGGTTTGAACCGCCAGTCGTCTGGTTAGCAGGCAAGTGTCTTAGCCACTATGCTACCAGAGCTCCCTAAACAATAGTGTTCTTAAATATATAATTTGCTATTTCCCTACAGAGAGATCATAAATGACTAATAAGAGCCACCGTAATTTATTTTAAAGCACTGTTGATCAATAAGTGGGAATATGAATATTTAGTCTGAAAATAGAAGATTTTAAAAACTCTATTTAGCTGTAGGATTAATCATTTCTTATTCCCCCCCCCCCCCCCATTTCCTTTCTTCCTCTATGATCTGCTCAGATTGCCACCAAGGAGCCCTTGAATCCCATTAAACAGGATGTGAAGGATGGCAAGCTACGCTATGTGGCAAATATCTTCCCTCACAAGGGTTATATATGGAATTATGGTGCCCTCCCTCAGGTAACATTTTTTGTTATAATGGTGAAACTTTTCTGTCTTTTGAGTAAATTGCCTTGTAAATCCTGTGAACTACATGAATTTAAATCAGTTCTGAGTACAGTGTCAGTTTGAGAGATTTGTAAATTTAAAATTTTTTAATATGGAGTTTTATTGTATCAATAAATTTTGTTTTAAACCATATTTATATCCATACTCAGGTTTTTGGAGTTAGGCATATAGAACTCCCACAGTTGGCATTTTGAACACATTTTTCTCTCACTTGGCCCTGGCCATTAAATGTCAGTTAAAAATGTTTAGAAAGGCTTTATCTGGAATCATTTCTTTGAATATGACAAGTTAGATATTTATATAAAATTCTTGTATGATAGCATGAACTTAATTTTTAAAACTTTAATAGATGAGTTTTTAAAATTCTTAACTTTTTTCCAGCACTCATTGTGAATTCATCAGGCAACTATTCTAAATTTGTAATTTTTAAGTAGAAAGCAGTAAAAAATTAAAAACAAGGCTAAATAATAGTAAAGCAGCATTTCTGTTACAGAATAACACTTGCTTTGCTTCCTTTTTTACCCTCATTTTAGTTTTCTTTCATGTTCCTTCACTACTGGGAAGTGGTAACTCCTTTAAGGTCATATGAGTGAGTAAGCTCAGAATATGTAACTACAAAAGTCTAGGTGTTGGAGACCTAGAGAGAGCATCTGACTTTGTGTTTAAAGGAGCCATTAGTACAGGCCTCTATCTGGACACTTAATTTTTATATCTTTATTATAGTTTTGTGTGGAATTCAAGAAGCTCTTGGGGAAATATCTGAGCAAAGGGAGTCTTAACTACTCCATGTTAAATAGCTGTCCATGTAAAATAAACATTCACAGGCAAAGAAAAGATAATTGTTTTCTGACGAGTCAGGTTGTCTTTGATGCAGTTAGACTGCCTATGTGGACACAATTTTGGTTAAAATTGGCACTTCTAAAATGATCTGTTAGGAATGAGAATATCTGTTGAAACCTTAAAAGCAGATTTTCTGATTCTTCCAGGTGCCTACATAGACATTGTGTTTGGCCTAAGAGTAAAAGGGTGAAGGACATTCTGAAAGGCTTAGGGGACACTATCTGTATGACTGTACAGATGTACAGGTGAGGGGAAGGCTAAAGAAGCCATTGGATTAGAGAGAGATGGACATAACAGAGACATGAAGTACAGCAGGCAGGGTGTAAACTAAAGTTCACTTATTTGTTTATTTCATTAAACATTTATTAAGAACGTAGGTGTAGACAGTTGACTAAGTGTTGAGTATATAAAGACCATAAATATAGATATAAGGTCATACAGCATAATAAATGGCTATGTGTGTGGGCTTTGGAGCCAGATACCACTTACTAGCAATGTAGCAATGTGATCTTGGTTAAATTAATTTATCTTTCTGTGTCTCACTTTCTATACCTATAAAATAGGCTAAAGTACTTCCTGTGTATGCTACTGCCTCTGGTGTTGAGGTTAAAGGAGTTACTGCACATACATGCTTAGAATAATGCCTAGCAACTAGTAATAACTTAGTATTATTTATTGCTATCAAGATGAATTGACACAGTGATTTTATCAGTTGGCTCAAATTTAGAGCAACAATTGTGAGGATGGGCGGTGTTTTGCTCTGTTCTGCATAGCGTCACTATGAGTTGGAGGCAACTTGACAGCACCTAACAACAGCAACATTATTATTACTATGGTATTACTGTTATTATTTGGCCTTTTCTCTAAAGGAATTTCCAGTCTCTGGGGAGTGATCAACAACTAAATCTATAGTTTCAATGTAGCACAATGGGTACTACTAATTCCATTGTTTTATTATGAAAACAAAAAAACAAAAACAAAAAAGCAAAACTGTTTAGAAAGGAAAAGAAGTTGGGAATAGAGGTAAAAACACAAAAGCTTCTGTAGTTTATCTGCTTAAAACCCTGCCAAACTTTTGTGTTTCTCCAGATGTGTTTGACTTTTCAAGATGCTATGGTATTAGTCTGTTAGGTACCATAATTCCTCTACTAATTCCAACAAAATTAAACTGCAGTGGTGCAGTATAGTAAATTACCTGGTATGGCTTTTCTAGCCTTAAGTCTTTGTAGACTCTGTGGTGGAATTTGCTGTGAGCAACTCAGGAGCTCCTGATTATAAAAGTTATCCACTTGGGGTATTTCTGTTGGGTGCAGCATAAAGCAATGTTCTGGGAGGTTCCCGCTGTCTCTCAGGTGCTTAGAATTCTGATGTTATGATTGGTTGGTTTGGCCACTCTGCCAGGCTCAAAAGGAGGCCTTCTAGAGGCAGAAGTTTCTCTCTGACTGAAGGCTGAGGAAGGACACGCTCCTGAGAGACATGCGCTGCTGGGAAAGAAACTCAAGAGACACGCATTGCTGAGAGAGACACAAAGGGACACGCACTGCTGAGAGAGAGAGAGTGTGAGAGACTGTTGGCCAAGAGCCAGCAGGCTGGGAGAGAGACTGAGCATTTTTCCTGAACTTGAATTGTAGCCTGGTGCTTCCCTAACAAACCCCACACTCTGTGAGTTCTGTGTGGCCACTGCAGTGAATTATCAAACCCAGGAGAGAGGTGGTGGGTGCTTTGGGAGGAATGGTTGGTGAGAGGGCTGGAGGGAGGCAGCATGTCTGGCCTTGCAGTAATAGTCCTTGGGCTACTGATGGTGATTCTGTCTTTCTTTTGTGGGGTTAGAGGAGGTCAGAACATGTGGCCTGCCTGCCTTTTTAGCAAGTGGTCTCTTAATTTGTTCCCCTGCTTTTATCATTGCCTTCCAAATTTCATATTCCATCCAGCATCCAAAATAATCTTTTTAAAGCAGAAATCTGTTGTTTTTCCCATGCAGAACCCTTTAGTGGTTTCCTTTGGGTACAAAGATAAAATACAAAAAAATTTTTAATGCATTTTATTGATATATAGTTTATGTACAGTAAAATACACAAAACTAAAGTGACATGGGTCAATGTATTTTTTTTTTTTTTTCCCTGCAGTGTTCCTTCCCCTCCCTTACCACCCTGGCAACCAACAAAGAAAGTTTCCCTCCATATATAAACCTTTCCTTGACCCTCCACAGCAATGAACTAGTACTATATTTGTCCTTCTGTGATCGACTTATATCCCTCAGCATAATGTCCTCCAAGTTCGTCCATATTATGTGGTGTTTTTGCAGACTCTACATTATTCTTTAATGCTGCATAGCATTCCATTGTGTGTATGTACCATAGTTTGGTCATCCACTCTTCCACTATAAATCTTAGAGATAAGTCCCCTGCCAGATATGCAATCATCAGCAAATATGAATTTGTTGCTGTCATTTTTGTTATGTGCTTTTTCGTGGTATTGATTTCTTTGTTCCATATAATTTTCTGTGCTGAGCTCGTTTTGTTTATGAGTCATGTTATCACTTCCTTCCTTGCTATTGTTTTAGTACTTTTGCTGAATAGTTATGCTGGTCCTCTTTTTTGATGTGAAGCTTTATCATTTTTCTTTGAGGTTATTCTGTGATTTATAGTTTTCTTCCAAAGTTTTAACAGTCTGTTCTATCTTGTAGTTGTCTTGACTTCTCTACCATCTAGATTCTATAATGACACAGTTTTTCCCTCTTTTTGGTTTGTAGTTGTCCTCATTTGTCAATTGATGTTTCTGCTTCCCTGTTTACAATCTTGTAGGCTTATTTACTTTGGAGACTTCCATAGCTGGGTTGGTTTCTGGGTTATATCATCATGTGTGTTAATGGTCAGTTGTTTTTGGCAGTTGTTGCTTCTTTGTCCAAATGGTTCTCTTTAGCATCTCTTGTAAGGTCAGTCTGGTTTTAACAAATTTCCTTAATTTCTGCTTATCTGGAAATGTCCAAATTTCACCATCATATTTGAGGGATGGTTTTGCTGGGGACATAATTGTTGGTTGGAAATTTTTCTCTTTCAGAGTTTTATATATACCATTCCATTTTCTTCTCTCTTGCATGGTTTGTGTTGAGAAATCCGAGCACAGTCTTGAAATACAAAATTCTTAATGTGCTTCCTCCATTCTGCCTTTGCTTATTTCTCTACCCTGTTTTTCCGCATTCATTCTCCATCATAGTGGCTTCTTTGATGTTTCTAACTTCCCTTGTCTTTTCCCCCCTTAGGGCTCTGTAGTGTCACTCATTCATTCAATAAATATTTCTTGAGTGCCTGTTATTTAGCAGGCATCATTTGAAGTATTGGAGGTCAAGTAGTGATAAACTGACAAAAAAATCCTGTGCAACTTTTATTCCAGGCCAAGAGACAGACAAGAAACAAAATAAATAATTAAAATGGATATCATGTCAGATGGTGGTAAGTGCGATGGAGAAAAATAAAGCAGGGAATGGAGCTAGTGTGTTTTGGGATTTTTGCAGTTTAGATAGGGTGGAGGTCTTGATGAGAAGGCATTGTTGAGTAAAGACCTAAAGGAAATGAAGGAACAAATAGTGTGGGCACCTAGGGGAAGGGCAGTCCAACAAGAACTAGCAAGTATATATAAGTTCTGAGGTAGAAGTAGGCCCAGAGTGTTTGAGTTACAAAAAGGGGACCAGTGTGGCTACAATGGAAGTGAGGGAAAAGAAATTAACCTGTTTTTTCTCTGCTATTTATCATCAGAGATCTTTCTAAGCTCAAACTGATAATGTATTCATTGTGTGTCTCTGTGTATAGTCTGGTCTTTAGAGAAAAAATATAGTATAGATGGCATATATGTTAATTGTTTATGAAACACAAATAACTAACTTGAATGATATTTTTAAAAAATAAATTTAAATTATGCCAATCTTTTATGGGAAGGAATATTTCTACCTAATACCGTTTGACTTGATTGTCGATGTTCAGACAGAGTGAGCCTGTTAAAAGCAAAGCCAGCCCCTAATCTCATTTACTTTTCTCATCTCATCTCCAACTCCCTCTCTTTCTCTTCCTTCTCCCTCACTTCCCTTCAGCCACACTGGCCTTGTCATGATTCCT